AGGAATTGTTATCTGGGTATGGCTGCTGGTGGCATTGAGGGCATGTGGAGGGTTTGAAACATGTCAGGCAAAGAGCTGATAGGATTAAAACCAAAATCTCTGCACCAGGCTGAGTGCCTGCACAGCGGGCTGTGCCCGGGGCTGCACAGCACTGAGCCACAATGCTGCAGCCAAAAAGGGAAGGGTCGGGTTCTCCAGGGTTTTGAACCACCTAGGAATGTTAAGAATGTTTTTGGGATCTGCTGTCAGTACCAGGGACTCCTCACCCGACCTGGCAAACCGTAAGCAATCACTTAATTTCTGTTGACGTGTATAAAAGGCGAATGTTGCCAACAGAGCAGCTTAGCCCAGGCTGAGATCTGAGCACGTGGTTTTTTACTTTGCTGAATCAAAGTTACTATTTACGGACGTCAGAGGAAAATCCAAACCTGTCTAATATTTGTGTTTTGTTAAGATGAGGACTGAGAAAACACGTTTAGCAGCATTTTAATTGAAGATTTGCAGCAGTAATGGGAAATTTTGGATGCCTCCCTATGTTATGACACTATTTAAGTCAAAACAAGAGCTCTATGGGCAGCCTGCCGGCCTTGGGGATTCCCCAGGGTTCAGGCAGAGTTACACCTCCCTGTTTTGAAAAGCTGAACTGGGGCCAGCCTTCATGGGGAAACATGGAGGTCTCCTGTGGCATCCTTGCCAGCTCAGCATTGCTGTGCCCCACGAGAGTTGTCACAAACCTGCACCTCCACTGGCACAGCCAAGCCCCGTCAGGCCCTCCCCGGCTGCATCTCGCTGCTGGGGGAGGACAAGGAGGATTGATGGCACGTGGCTCCCTGTGCGTGGTGCTGGCATCGAGTCAGGGGTTTATAGCAGCACATTGGCTTTTCTGGGTGAATCCTGATTAACGGAGGGGCAGGAGCTGCGCTGTTTCCCAGCCCCCAGAGCTGACAGGGGCGAGCCTCAGCTGATGTTTAAATGGATTTGGAACTTGTCTGTGGCTCTAGCATCCCCGTCCTGAAGGAAGGACCATCTGCTGCAAGATAACCCAGTCTCAGAAGGCACTCACTTCAGGTCTGTTTGAAAAGAGAGGTGACACACAATATTTGAGGGGTTTCCCCCACGGTTGCTAATTTGGTGGCCAAGAGGCAGCTCCCAGTTTTCAGCTGCCTTGCTTTTACAGCCAGACCCGTGCCCTCTCAGAGCATCAGCAGAGAATGTTGTGGGTGCTGGTTACAGACACAGTGCTGCCACTGCCAGCAGTGTGCTACTTACTGATGGAAATTGGTGAGGAAGCTCAGGAATGGTTGGTGTAATTACAGAGGGAATTACAGTGGCAGCAGCACTGGGGTGTAACAAGGAGGCAATGAGCTGCTGGGCTGAGCACATATTGCCCAACACCACCGTGGAGCCAAGGAGCAGAGGGCATGGTCCTATGGTCCTTTTCCCCCAGTAACCTGCACAGATCCTGCTTACAATGTTTGCAGGCTTGCCAGGGTGTTAGATGTTGAAGCCTTACACCAGAAAATTACTCAAGTATATTTTAATAATTTACAGCCACAGGTCTTACATGATTTGTTCTCTAAAGATTGATTTAGCTTCTTATTAAGGGAATTGGGAATTCAGTGTGAAAATCTGAACAAAATCTAGGCGGTTTTTAGTTTTTTTTTTAAAATATCCACTAGTGTAACTCACTGGGGAGAAGAATTTCAAAGCCTGTCCAATCCTATCTTGAATTTTTGATTCTTCTGCTTTCCTATTTCCATTCCCAAGGTGTGCTTGTTAAGGAAGAACACCTCAGCATTATTGTATTATTTTTAAATAAGCCACAATCACTGTAAGGAGCTCAGGATAAAAAAATCCACTAATAATTTGATTTTTTTATTCCCCCTCCCTGCCTCCAGTTTTTAAAAATTTGGTAATGCCAGATGTGCACTGCATACAAATGGCAGGGTGGGCAGCTGTAATTGCACACTCTCCCCAGGGCCCAGAGAAGGCCTTTTCTCTTTAATTACCCCTCGACTTGTAGAGGTATGAGCTGCAGTGGAGCTGCCAGGGCCGGGCTCTCCGGCAGCAGTGGGAGGGCTGCACAGGAGGTGCCCACAGGCAGGGGTGGGTGTCGCATTCCAGGGATCCCCCCATGGCAGCAGGACACGGTCTGTGCTCAGGGCTCCCTCGGCCGCACACACTGGGGCATCTGCAGGGACAGGGACGTGCTCCCAGAGAGGTGACAGGACCACACCACGTGGGCATCCCGCTCCCAGCGTGGCAGTGGGTCAGAGTGCTCCCTGCAGGGCAGTGTCCCTGTCCTGCTGCTCAGGGCTCCTTCAGGCTCAGGCTGATGCCCCACGGGAGGGGATGGTGGCTCTCATCTTAGGCCCTGTTCTCTACACAGCAGTCGATGAGCTGCTGTGGTGGCATTTCTCCTTAGACAGCTCAGAAATGCCTTTTCTCTTCTCCTGGAGATTTTGTAAACTTAAAAGAGAATCATGAAAAAAAGTGTTCTCCCCTGTCCAGCCCATTAATTCAGCCTGCTCAGGACAGAATTAACCTTGGCAAGCCTTGCAGAGGAGAGAGTTGTTCTAACCTTAAAAATCTGCTGATTAAAGCTGGTTTCAGGAATTCGATTTCACTTAATGCGTTGGCTGAGCGCCCAGCCTGGCATTAACATCTCCACAGACACACAGGCCTCCACAGCTTTTACCTCCCCACTAAAGAATAAATAAAAAAATAAAAGAAAACCCAGATAATGAAACCCCTGTTGCCTGTTCTGAGCAAGAATTCATTTTAAAGACAGCTTTACTAAAGGCATTACTCCTGCCCTGGTTACCTGTGTGCTCCAGCCAGGCAGGGCAGTAATTCCGCTCTCCTCAGTAGGTGCAGGGTGGTGTCCAGCCAGCCGGGTGCTCGGTGATCCTGAGCTGTTCTAGGCTAGGGATTCATCCCACGCCAAAGGCAGGGGTCAGCGGGGCCAAGTATAGGGAAATCACCTCTATGCCCTCCTCCCCTTACCCCCCGTGTACCGAGCCACAGGGCTGCAGACTTTGTGTCATCCACAGTGCTTAACTCATTAACCTTGAAAATCCTCCAAAACAATGACACTCAGATTTCCTGCTTTCCATTTATATCCTAAAGGGGTTTTATATGCCTTTTTATCCAAAAATTAATGTAGTTTTTATTGCTGCCATCACTCATTTTGCCTACACTCCATGTGTGCTCCCAGGGTCTGTTCCTCCCCTGCAGTGTGTTTCTCCGACACTGTGGATCTCTCGGTGCCCGTGGGGACAGTCCCTGCCATCTCTCTGAGGTCAGGAACTTGCTCAGTGTGTGGGTCTCCTTCATCCCAGCTGCCCAAGTTAAAACATCCAGCCTCTACACATCAATCCATAGTCAGATTCTCATGTCCTGTCACCATGGAGAAAAAAAAAGAAAAGAAAGATTTAAGAAATCCCTTCTGTATTCTGAGTGCTTTGTGAATTCTGTGAATCGTTAGGATTTTTTAAGGGTTTGCTGAAATGTTGACAACTATTTTCTTGGAGGTGGGAGGCTTTTGTGTGATTCATTATTGACAGCTCCAGAATTAGCCAGGAGGCAGCTCTGGAGAGGCAGGGCAGTGCTCCTGCCTGCTGTGCACCACAAGCTGCACCGAGCCCAGCATTGGCACTTGTTGGGTTTTGTTTTAATCAGAGGAAGTTTTAATCGACTCCACAGCAAGTCAGGGTGGGAAGCAAGTTGGAGGATGCTGGAATATATTGATATATATTGCACAAGGTGCTATGGATGTCTGTATTGGCTGTGAAGGTGACTCCAGCTGCTCCAGACTAGCTTTCCCACCCTCACTGGGAAGCAGGTTGGACTGGGAGATGCTGCACCTCCCAAGCTGCTTTCCTAAGAGGGGAGACCAGCTCTGAGTCAGCAGAACCAAAGGTTACAGACCTTTCCATGCAGCCCCCAGCCTGTGAGCCAGGAGTCACTGTCAGGGATTATCCACACAAAAGGCAGCGGCTGTTCCCCATCTGAGGGGAGGGATTTAAATGTTAAGCTTTTCTTTGGATTATTTTCTGCAGGGCTTTTTTCCCCCGCTCTGTTTTTCCTCCCTGCACTTCTGTGTGTGGAAGGTACCCTTGAAACATTTGAAAGTATTACTAATCTTTGTCATTTCAGTTTTAAAAATAACTCAGTGATAGCAGCCAGCAGTCCTTAAATCCTGTTTAATTCAGGCCAGCCTTGCAAGTGGTGATCCTGGGGAGGGGAATCTGCCATAGCCTTCTGTGTACTCGCCAAGTGCACACATCCAGAGGCACTGCACCCCTCTGCACTCGGGTGTCTTTGAAATTAAAACCAGTTTTGTGTGTTTGGGTTATGCTGGGCTTGGTTTCCAACTGAAAAGTTTTAACATACTGGAAATTTGATTTTTTTCCTGAAGAAAGAATTCCTTGGCCTTGCTGATTTTAGTTAATCAGAGAAGCAGAGCTTATTTAAAAAAAAAAAAAACCACAACAAAACAAACAGAAAAGAAACAACCTGTATTTTGGCATTTTGCTGTCTAAAATATCTGGCAGCAGTTTTTTCAGTTTACAAACACAACGTTTTCAGTTGAAATACCCAGGAGATAAACCATGGAAAAAGAGATGTAGGGGTTGTATTTGTCAAAAAATCAAAATAGGTTGGAGCGAAGATTCGAATGCAGCCCCAGACCCCCGTCGGTGTTGGGGTGCCGAGCGCTGCCGGAGCCTCCATTGCTTCTGGCTGCTGCAGGGTGACTGTGCTTGGGCAAAGGCAGCAGGGGGGAGGCTGTCAGGGAAGGGGTTCTGTGACCTGTAGCAATGCTTAAAAACACACGTTTGGGTGCCACAATCCTGTGTTGTGTGTTACCAGCCCCGACCATCAGCAGGACCTTGTCTTTCGTGGCGGGTCATGCACTGCCACCCCCTCCCCAGCACAGCCTCTCAGGCAACGGTTCCTTCACTAACCTGACTCTGCTTTCTCTCTTTTTGTGTCCCCAGTGCCTGTATGGCTGCTACGTCCATTCCTCCATCATCCCCACGTTTCACAGAAGGTGCTACTGGCTTCTGCAGGTAGGATGGCGACGAGTTCCTCTCTCCCGGGTCACCCAGGCGAGCCCCTGTGGCCGCGTTCCTTCAGCCGCTGCCGGGGTGCTCAGCATCCCACGTTCCACTGCTTGGGGGATTCTGTTTGTCTGAAGGGGAAATGGGTGTTCTTAGTTGTATGTCTCTGTTTAGAGAGATGATATATTTTCTCTAGAAATAGAGAGCTGATGCCAGGTCAGACATTCCCTAAACATGGATTCTGCTCAGGTGAGACTTCCTGGAGGTTTTTGGTTGTGTTGTTCCATTCTGAAGTGAGGCAGGAGCTGGGAAGCCAAGTGCTGTACTGGCATGCCATGGCATAGGAGAGAGATCAGCCCTGGGGCTGTGTTTGAATTTGGGGAGAACCATGGGGCCAGCCTTGCAGTGGATCTGCTCTCCTCCAGCGAGGAGTTTAGTCCCTAGGGAGACAATCAATGATTTTTCTTCTGGCTGTTGTGGGAACAGCGAAGTCCCAGGAGTCAAGCTGAGTTTTCCTCTTATTTACACAGTGTTTGGACAGCTTCCCTGGGGCTGAGTGGGTTGTGCTCAGGGTCACGTGTGGGAATTTGCCCAGGTGGTGTTTGCTGACCCTGTCTTTGAGGAGCTGTTTGTATTCTTGGCTGGTTACCATGGTGTACAAAGTGGAAGCAATTTATCTTCTTTTGTTAGAAATCGGCACTTGATGCATATTGTAATAATACTGTTTTAAAGCTTAAACTCTCATGGTCCTGAAAACTAACAGGTCTGAGGAAAGTGACATCTGTTTCTAGAAGCAAATGGAAAATAATCCTTTTTTCCCCCGGTTTTGTAATTGCACTTTCATAGTAAAAAAGAAGACACTGCTGCTGTCACTGGGGCAGGACAAGACACCTCATGACCTCCAGAGGACTGTGCCTGCACCACGAATATAATCGAAGGGAACATGCAGCAAATGTCACTGTCCTCTGTGCTGTCTGTGTGCTCTCAGCTCCATTTGCACCCATAACATAGAAATGCCACATGCAAGGAAAGAGGAGATGCTTGGCTGCAGTGGTGGGAGCAGCACTGCACCTCACAGAGCAGAGCTGTGGCTCCTCTGAAAATACAGTGTGACCATGTTGATCTTGCTCTCTTATATGCTGGTCAGGCTGTGCTTGTACCCCCTGAGAGGTCCTCTCCTCACAGGTCCCCTCTCTTACCTTCAGTTGCGAGCTTTGTGTTTCTTCTTTTGTTGAGTGCTCCCCAGAAGTGTTGCTGGCCCTGGCTGCTCTGGCTGGTAGCCAACATGTTAGCCAGCATCTCTCTGGTGGGTTGCACTAAAGCAGTATAAGATCTCTGAGCTGTACCCTGGGGTCTGACCCCTTCACATTCACAGGGTGTGCGTTGATGTTTAGTCGTCTTTGCACTGGTGATCACTTTGGATCAGGAGGAGTGGATGGGAAGTACATTTCTTAGAAGCCTATTTATAAAATGCACTGCCGGATGTCTCACTGTGGCAGTGGTAGACTGGTATTCCTCTACAAGGACACATTGTGCCTTCTCTGTGGGAGGAAGAGGGGTCTGTGATTCATGACAGCATCTCCCAGGCATAAACGGGCATCCTTCAGTCATGTGCTCAAGGTTATTCAGCTGGGAGAAAGGAGCTGGCCCAGAATAGATGATGCTTTTCTGTTGTCTGCACAGTGTTTGTGTTCAGCTCCATGTTGAATTCAGGGGGAATGAGACCAGAGAGGGAGAAGGTGTTTTGTTTATCTACTTCAGAGGCTTCCACTTCTACACCCCCCAGTAAATGAGTTTGATACTCCAAAACAGGTACAGCCAGGGCAATGTTTAACATTAACCTCCAGCAACATGTTTGACTTTTTAATTCACAGAGGCACTTAGGTGCCTTGCCCTTTTTTTAGAGAGACATTCAGCACTTTCCTGGGACACATAGTGCTCTGCCTGTGAGCCTCTGGTCAGTGGGGAGTAAATACAGTTAGTCTGCAATGCTGCCTGTGTTTTATGGGATGATCTTCCTCCAAATCCTATTGTCAGGTTAGATATCGATTAAAAATCCCCATGCAATTGTTCTTGATCTTTTCTGCCTCAGATTTTCAGTGTAAAGGCCAGGACTCCCTCATGCATTTACACTGCGCCGTAGCCATTAATTATATGATGGTGTCTGATTTCTTACTTTAAGCAACTTTGTGTTGTCATTTATGATTGACATGACATGCCTGCTCCCTGCGGACTGGTCACAGGGATAAGAAATGAGAACCAGTCAGCTGGAGCTGCACAGTGTGTTTTTCTGTGTCTCCTAAAATTTCTCCCGCTGTCAGCAGAGACCACGATGATGGTGGCTGGGGCAGGCAGTGGGATGGCAGGTCTGCTGCATGGGGCACTGCAGCTGAGGCCTCCTCCTTCTCTCTGTTCTGAAAGGGTTAAACATTTTGAGACATTTCCCATTTTCTTGATAATGGATTTTAAGTGCTGCCTTACCCCAAAGACCTTTAATATTTGTAATAGGTGTTGTAATTGCCGAGCCAGTGTTTGAGTGTTTCTGCAGGAGATGGTCCGGGCCTGGGTGCTGGGAGCCTCTCACATGGATGGTCTCTTGGACATTTGCTCTTGGAGCTGAGTGAAGGAAGCATATCCAAGGTGGTGGTTTCCTCAATTTGCCTCTTGTACTTTTCTTTTGATTTTCTGATCTCTAGAAATGTAAGATCGTGTTTTGAGTGACAGGCAGAGGAGAAGACAGGGCTGAGGACTCGGGTGGCCTCTTCTGTGGAGGACTCCCCAGTAGTACTTAGTTTTTTATCATTTTGCATTACCTGTTCACTTCCAAGAAGATGCAGAACCCTGGCTGTCCGCAGTTCACCGAGCACAGAGCAGTGCTGCTGACACCTTTTTCAGGGTGTGGGTGATGGCAGGTTCCATCTTCTGCAGAGGCTTCAGTGCAGCCGCAGCCCTGAGTGGGTTGGCTTGTCACCAGCAGGACCTGTGCTGCGCCTGTTAGACCTTCAACTTAGCACCAGACTTTGTGTCAATGGAAAAAGAAGAAAAACCTGTGTTTGTACTTGTACTGACTAATGGAGGGAAAATGTGGATTCTGAGACATGGATGATTTTCAAACATTGGCACGCTGAGTAGCAAAATGCAGCATTCCCTTCTGTGTGTTGAAAAGTGGTGCCCCAAGAATGTAAAATTAATCTGGATGCCAGGCTTCTGGGCGGGCTGCTGCTTGCCAAGGTTACAGGGGCAGACTTTGCCTTCACCCATCGACAGAGATGCGTCCCTTGCTCACTCCCACGCTTGTGCCGTGCAGCTGGAGATGCTGAGCTTGTTGGACATCATGTTCCATCCTGCCTTTAGCAGGTGCTGATATCTTCTTTAGTACTGGTATTCAGGTGCTGCAGGGAAGGGAAGGAATATATTTTTTAAAAGTGTTACCCTTTTTCTTAATTAAGAAGTGCATAAACTATGCTATAGGATCATGCTAAAAATTTACTGTGAATTTAGACATCTTGGCCAATTGGACAAATTAAGAGTAACAAGCCTTGGAGAGCAGTATGTCTGCAGAGAGCTGTTTCATGTGGTATGCACATTAACTGCTTGCTGAATAGTTCAAAGTTGGTGCAGAAGAATGTCAGTAGCACTGCTCTGGCAGGTGAGCCAGGGGAAGTAGAGCAGGACACAGACTGAGCTGGGCGGGCACAGGGAGACATCAGAGCCCTGTGGAGCCCTGTTGTAAATCCAGCATTTGCAGTAATTGCTGAAATGTGATAATCTGGTTCTCTGGGAGCCAAGGGGAAACTGCATTTCATGTTTATTGCTTGCACATTCACAGGATGCTTGCAGCAGCCATGGCAGTCATGGGATGCTTTCCTGCAGGATAGGAAATGGCAAGGAAAGGTCAGGGACATCAGCAGTCATGCTTGGGGTAATGTCCAGGCAGGATGTTTGTCCTGGAAGGAGCAAATGGGGGATGCTGAAGGGGACACTGGTGTTGGACAATATTCAGGTAGTGGTCTTTAATTACTTTTCCTCCAGTTCTGTGTGCACCAGCTGTGCCTTGGAGAGTATCTGTAAGCACCAACTGAATATCAAAAGTTTCCACAGTATTTTCTCTTTAAACTGTTTTTTCCTGGATTCTTCCTTCTGATACACTTGAATATTCAGCAGTTTGTTACTATGAATGTCTGCACTGATGCCTGATGCTCCCTGAGTGTTCCCTTCCTGAAACACATTTTGTCTGAAATGGGCAGAAAGTATCAAGTCCTGAAACTCAGTTAAAACATTTTACATGGCATCTGTCACTGTCCTGCAGAAATTTGGTGTTCATTCTGTATTTTTTGCCTTGAATTTTCAATTATGTCCTAAACAAGAGGAAACCCTTCCCATTTCTTTTTGATGGCACCCCATCAGAGCAGCGTTTCCCTCTCTGATCACTTGTGCTGCGCTGCATCAGCAGCATCTCCTGCATCCCTGGCTGGAGCAGCCACAGACAGCTCGAGGGTTTGGGACTTTTTCAACATAAATTGGAAGCATTACAATCTCATAAAAATTCTCAATACTTTTGCTTAGTAGTGGGTTTTTATATTTCATTTGGGTGAAATAGAAGTGACTGGGCAATAAAGCACTGAGGATGCTGCACTGCACGTGGGCACTTAGATGTGTCCTGTGTGTTGGGGGGTTGGGGTGTGAGCGAGGCCTCAGCACAATGAGCCTGTGTGTGTTTGCTAACAGGATTATAAACTGTTGCTGCTACCCTGGCATGTTTTCCCAAGGTGGGTTTTAACCTGTATGATGAAATTAAGTGTGTATAGAAGTGTAGCAGAGCATGGCCTGGGGTGCCCAACCACTGCCAGTATGTCTGTGTCTCAAGCATGCCCGTGATCCAGGGGGCTGTTCCCAGAGCAGACTTGTGCAGCAGCTTTACCTCCCTCGGGTTCCTGTTCTCACTGCCCTGCCTGCATGTGGAACTGTGCTGGAAAGGAGACAGTGAATGTGGGGGGAGCACATGGCAC